AAGTACCCGTGTGCACACTCAGCCCTGAACAGAGGTCCTCAGCCCCGGCACACTCTGTCGCGGGACGCCCTGTGCCCTGTAGGATATTAAGCAGCACCCTGGCCCCGCCCTCTGGGTTCCAGGAGCGCCCCCAGTTGTGACAAGCCACTAGTGTCCCCAGACATTGCCACGTGTCCCCTGGGGGTTAGACTCACTGACGGCCTCAGGCAGACATTGGCACAGCTGTGCAAAGACTTGATGTGGTGGAGGACGGTGGGCGTCCTGCAGAGCCCGGGGAGCGGGGACAAGGGGTGGCCGGGGCTTCGGAGAGGACGTGCGGGCGGGCTGCGTGTGGAGCAGCTTCCGCGGCTGTACCAGCAGGGACGCCCACCGGGATGCCCCAGTCTCCCGCGGGACACCGAGGCTGGCGGCAGGAGGGCTGGCCCTCGCCGGGTTTGGTGGGGCCCCGCTCGAGCGACCTGCGAGCGACACAGCCCGCCGCGCTCCGCCTGCTTTCCAGTCCCCACCTGCGGCCCGCCCCCCGCACCCCAGCTTCCTTGCGTCTCTCTGGGGGTGAGAAGAGCTGAGTCAGTGGCCCTGAGCTTGAACCTGTGCCCCTGGGGAGCCCTCCGCTAATTGCTTGTTAGCGGGGGAGGGGGGCCTTCCTGCCTGCCCTCTGGGATCGTCCGTAGGCGGCCTCAGGCTGGCGGAGGCCGGCTGCAACCCCTCTGCCGCCCTGTCCCTGCCCAGGTCCCCGGCATCTCGCCCGCCGCTGCTGGGGACTCTGCTGGCACCGGGCACGGCCAGCTGCCGCACCGCCCGACACGGACCCGCTCGAGTCAGCAGAAACCGCCCGACTCCGGCAGGATCAAAATAACCTCCTTCCTTTTCCAGCACTTGAGGGTTTTTCCGCCTTCTGGGGGAAAAACAAAACAAACCCGAAAAAAAGAAATGAGAGTTGCAGTGTTTGCAGCCGCCCGGAATGTGGTTTTTCTGAGGCCTCTTCCCGGCGGTGGCCGGCACACACTCTGTCCCGTGGAGGGTGGTGTGTCTTCGTGCGTCTCGTGTGTGTGATAGATGTGTCTGTACATGGGTGTGTTATCTGTGTTCGTTTGTGTTGGTGTGTGTGTGGGTGTGTAGGGGTGCTGGGGTTTTTGCGTATTAGGTGTGCACGTGTGTTGGGGTGTGTGGATGCTCAGACGCCCCGAGCCTCTGCCTGCACCGGGGTCCCCGAGGTCTCACGTGTCCCCTTGGTCTTGCAGCGGAGCTGGAGTTCGTTGAGATCACCGTCATCGTGGTGGTGGTGATGGTGATGGTGGTGGTGATCACGTGTCTGCTGAGCCATTACAAACTGTCCGCTCGCTCCTTCATTGGCCGGCACAGCCAGGGCAGGAGGAGGGAAGACGCCCTGTCCTCGGTGAGTGCCTGCCCTCCCTGAGCTTCCAGGGGGCCCGTGGACGCCCCTGATCAAGTGCCCGTGGTGTCAGGGTTGGGTGCTCACAGGAACTGACGGTAGGGAGACAGTCTGGGGGGTGGAGGGGGAAGGGGGAGGGCTTCTAGGTATAGGCAGTGACCCAGATGGAAGGGAGCCCGTGGACCAGTCCATGCAGTGAGGCTTTGGTCCCCAGATCCGTCCGTCCATCCATCCGTTGGACAGACATCTACTGAGCACCCTCTGTGTGTCTAGAGCCCTCCCAGGCACTGGGGGGAGATAGCTTCAAGCAGGTCGCGGGGGGTTGCTGCCTGATGGGCTGGATGTAGACAGGAGTGCCGGATGCTCCGAAGGAAGCTGAAAGGAATCACCAGGAATCCCAGAGTAGCTGGTTTACCCAGGACAGTCGAGGTGAGCCCCTGAGGCCGAGCTCTGAAGGGAGAAACAAGGGTGGGGTGCAGAGGGGGTGAGTGCAGGAAGGGTGAGAAGGACAAATGCGGCACGGTCCTTGCTGTCCCTACAAAACTGCAGTTTGATATGTTACTAGAATTGTGTGCCCTGTTGGGCATTCTGGAAACCCAGGAATATCCCCACAAAACTCCACAAACTGGGGCAGATGGAGCAGCTCCCAGCAGTTTGGGAACTCGCCCTCCTCCGGACCTGAGCACCCACGTTCCCCTCATTCACCTGCCCCTTTGGTGCCACCCCTACCCGCCGCTCCGTGTTCCTCAGCAGATGGACCAGGGGGCGGTGGAGAGTCCATCACTAAACAGTTTCCATCTCCACGCCTGTGAGGTGTAATTTAACAACCTGGACAGGAGTAGCTGTCTGAGGGACGGGCTGCAGATGACACGGAGAGGGGGGCCCGTGGGCGGCCCCGGGGCTGTGCAGGGAGCACATCTCTAAGCCCGTGTTCACCGGGCGCTGGGGGGAAGCGGCAGCGGGCATGGCCTCCCGGCTCTGGGGGGCGCCTGGGGCCGGCGCTGGTGCCCAGAGTCTGTGGGACTGAGCTGAGTCAGGCTGGCAGGCCTGTCCCTGGCAAATTTGGGCATCTCCGCTTGCGTCAGGCCTCAGTATGTCACCAGGTTGCCAGGGCAAGGAGCATCCGCTCTGGTCCCTCTGACAGGAACACTGGGTGCCCCAAACCCGAGGCCCGGTGTGTCCGGAGGACACTTGGCAGCTTCCTGCAGGGCTTACCTGTGTGTTTATTTGCTGTCGCTGTTGCCTGAGTGACAGTGCCACCAGCTGCACTGCCACATCCGCGCTCAGAAATCCCTCCCACGTTTTACAGAGGAGAAACTGGGGCTCAGAGAGGTGGGAACATTTGCCTAGGGCCACACAGCTTCTAAGCGACAGCTTGAAGAGCCCATGACCCGTTTTGTCCCACCTCGGATGCTGGGGCAAGCTTTGGACAAATGAGAAGACATCAGCCTGGTAGCCCTGCTCCAGGGTGGGGCATCCTACCTGCTCTGAGCCTCAGTGTGTGCGTCTGTAAAATGGGTGGAGCGAGCCTTTCTCCTTCCTACCCTGCGTGGTCACAGGGAGGGTGAAGTTAGCCGAGGGAGCTGGGGAGATGGCAGAGGTTCCGGCGTGAGGGACCCGTGCCACCATAGCAGGGACAGCCCTGTAGGCAGCACTGGGACTTCGTGCCCAGGTGGAGGTCAGGATTCGGGCTCTGGTTCCTGAACATCTGAGGTTAAAAGAAAGTCCCCCCTGCCCCCCTGCCCCCGGCCGACTTCTACCAGCCACCTGCACGGGCCCCCGGGGATGCCCAGCTGGGTAAACATGGAGGCTTGTTAGACCTGAAGTACCTGGGGCCCCTGCCAGACAAGGCGTGTCTGAGGAGTTTCGGGGGCCCATGACCTCCCAGAGAGACCCAAACGCAGCCGCCGTCTGCTTGGCACTGGGCCCACCCCTGGCATGGCTGTCCTGCCTTTTCAGGGTGAACCTCTGGGAGTTCATTTCCTCATCTGTCAGGTGTAGGTAAAGCCCTGTGGCCCTGGGACCTCACTTCCCCGCCTGATGCTGCTGCCAGAGAAGCTAGAAAATACCGCAGGGGGCACAGACTGTGGCTCGTCGCCTGCAGCTGAAGGCGGGGCAGGAGTCATCCAGGTCCAGATAGACCAGGGCCGGGCGCCCACTCTGTGAGTCAGGTTTCTGGGCTCATCCCCATGGTCTCTTCTGTGGCTGCAGTTGCCCTGCAGCAGCCTTCTTGGTGGTGTGGTAGACCGTCTGGCCCTTTATGCAGCCAGTTTGTGGACCCCTGGTCTAGATGGGGAAGCCATGGGCAGCTGGACGAACTCTCCAAGGAAGCTTTTAAAAAGAGAAGGAGTGGAGCGGGGGTGAGAGAAGGAGCTGCCAGGAACAGCCCTGTGGGCACTGGCACCTGGAAAGGCGTCAGGGCCATTCACTGAATAAGAGAACAAGGTGAGTTAAGACACAGCCTGTGGGCAGGTGCAGTGCAGCCAGCTGGACTCCGGGTTCCTCACAGCAGGGCCAGGCTGATACGAGAGCTGAGATGCTGTGGGAGCCTGGGGAGGGGCATCCGGCAGGTGGGAGGTTCCTGGAGGAGGAGGTGACCTCCAGGTGCACAAGTTGGGGGTAGTCAGGTGACAAGGATGGAAGTGATTCTGGGGTCTACGATGGGGCCTCCCAAGCAGTGACTGGTATTTTCCTAAGCACTGTGGGTGGAGACTCCCCGGGCTAGGGTTCGATGGAGGGCTGGGGGGTGGGCGGTGGTGGGAAGACGTTGTGGGGACCTCGAACAGAGGGCCTCCTAGGGGGGTTTTAGGCAGGGGCCCGTCTGGGTCACATTTATCCAAGCTGACCTTGGCTGCTTGCACCCCTCCCCAGGACTCCCGACTTGAATGGGGAGCAGGTGGATGTCCCCCCATCTGCTTCCTGGTGCTCACATGGACTGTGCCAGGGGCCCAACTGGGGGCCACAGAGCCTGCCAGGGTCGGCTTGAGCCCGAATGATTCTGGAGGTGGTGGGCGAGGTTTGGATCCCAGCACTGCCCGCTACCAGCTGGAGCAGCTCGGCTTAGCCACCTGACCTCAGCCTTGCGGGTTTTGTCGGGAGAGCTGAGTTAGTGCTTTAAAGAGCGTAGCACAGTGCCTGGCACCAAGGCGTTCCTAATATCAGTAACAGAATGGCTCTTGATGACCATATTAACAGTAATAGTGTGTGTCTGCCCTCTGTATCCCCACGCCTGGAATAAACTAGACCCCAGTGAGTCTTTGTGGGGTAAGTGCTTTCCTGATGGAACAGTTTTGAAAGACACAGAGCTCCCCTAGTGGCCATACAGGAAATTGCAGCCCTCCAGGCAATTCCTCCCCAGATTGCCGGGTGAGAATCGTCTTACAAGGGAATCCTCAAGAAAACATGTCCCCCAAAAAACTTTGGGGTGATAGATATGTTCATTATCTTGATTGTGGTGATGGGCTCCTGGTATATACCTATGCCAAAACAACCAAATTGTATGCTTTGAATATGTGCAGTTGGTTATATGTCAGTTACATCTCAATAAAACTATAAAATTAAAGGAAGGAAGGCATCCCTCCCCATAGGCCCCGGCCTATCCATGTGTATCACCGGAACAGAAGGGGTGCTGCATGATTGCATGATTAACTCTCCTGTATTTCTTCATCTATAAACTGGGCCCCCAATAACGGGGGCAAGGCAGACTATAGTAAGTGCTAAATAAATACGCGGACAAGGTGATTACAGACATGACAGATGCTTTGAAAGAAACAAGCAGATGACGGGATGTTTAATGGGAGAAGGCCATTTAGATAATGGTGCTAGGGAAAGCCTGTGGTGGGCACTGGAACTGAAAAGCGAGAAGGAGCCAGCTGTGCAGTGGGGCAGCCAGTGCAAAGGCCCTGTGGTGCACAGTTAGCACTTCCATGCACTAAATAGTGGGTCAGCGTGACGGGAGGGAGAGTGGCGGTGGCACCCAGCACTGTCATAGGCTCACTGAGCGTTGCGTGCACCCCAGGGGCTTTGCATGTTCGCCTCCTTCAGTTCTTTGACAGATACTGCAGTTATGCACGTTTTCAGATGCAGTAACTTGACCGAGGTCGCACAGCAAGTACCTAGGCTTTCTTAGGAGCCGGTTCACCAGTTCATTTGGATGTGTTCTAAGGCCCACGGAAGCTGCTGGAGGGTTTTGAGAAGGAGGGACCCACGAATCAGATGTGTGTTTTGGAAAGTGTGAGTTCGGAGGATGCATTTTCGGGGGGCAGCCTTGGGAGCCGGGAGATCAGCGACAAGGCGATTGTGTCACGTCCGAGAGAAACGTCCAGGCCCGGGCTGGGGTCACTGCAGTGGGGCTGAAGAGGGGGATGGGTGCAGCATCTCATGCCGAGTGGAGGCTCTCAGAGTCCACGCCAGGCCGCCCCTTTGCTCTCCTACCTCTGTCCGTCCCGCTGACCCTGTCCTCTTCCTCCCTGTACAGGAAGGATGCCTCTGGCCCTCGGAGAGCACGGTGTCAGGCAGTGGAATCCCGGAGGTGAGACCCAGCGCCGCCTCCCCTCCACCACTACCCTCCCCCCCCCC